TTCCCCCTTCGCAAGCCATCTTTTACTTGCAAGGCAGACAACATTTTCGCCGAAGACTTGGCCTTAGTGAGGAAAACAAAGTAGGGATTAGGCATGTCCATCACGAACATTCCTTGTAAATGTGGCATAACAGACACCTTTGCCTTTGTAAGGAATTGCAGTCCAAGGATTACCTGAAAATCATCGAGAGGGACTGCCATAAAATCACATGATCCTTGCCAATCCCTAACTTTTAAAGGGACTTCTCTTGCGACGTCGCCTACTGGTTTTGCCTCTGAATTAACAGCCTTAATCTGGTTGGAGTCTTTCACTAAAGCCAAACCAAGTCGCTGTACTTCCCGGTCAGAAACAAAATTATGGGTTGCACCTGTATCAACCATTGCCTGGACAGCTACATTGTTCAGGCGAATCTGCACAAACATTAACCCTTTCTTTGTCGTCGTCTCTTTTTTGCGAATTGCATTAAGGAGTTGTAATGGGTTGACTCGTGTTGGTTCGTCAAAATAGTCAGTTTCCTCAATCATGAGGGCACTGAGCTTTTCCTTCTTGGGGTAATTTCTGGCACGATGAGGGCTATTACAGATAAAACAGCCTGAGTCAGCACCTCCCTTTGATGAAGAGGCCTTGTTAGTCAATTTTTTTGAATTGTCAAACTTCTCAGCCTTTTTCTTCTGTTTGTCCTCCTTAGGGAACTTGGCTTTCCCTTTTGACTCCTTCTCTAGAGGGTTAGCCTGTGTTTTGTAGTCAACCAACACATCTGCTGCGGACATAGCAGCAGGTAAGTTCTTCACCCCTTGCCGACGAAGTTCTGCCTGTGCCCACGTTTGGAGGCCAGACATAAAGTGGAACAACTTGTCTTCCTCTGACATATTTTTGATGTCAAGCATCAGAGACGAGAATTGCTTCACGTAATCCCTCATGGTGCTTGTATGTCGAAGTTTCCTCAATGCATCACGGGCTTGCCAAGCCGTGTTGCTGGGAAGGAATTGCTCCTTCATTTCAATGGACAGAGACTCCCAAGTAGTAATTGGAGGACGAGATTTGTCCTCAGAACGTGTTTGCCACCATAATTTAACATCACCAAAAAGGTACATGCTAGTGAGATCTACCTTCTTAGCATCCGGAGTGCGGACTGCTTTGAATTAGTGTCCCATATCCCACAGAAAGTTCTCGAGTTCTTTAGTATTACGACTGTCTGTGAAAGGCTTAGGGTCAGGCATTTTAGCTTTCTGAGTGCTTTCACTGCCAGAAGCCAAAGAAGCATTCTGCAGTGCCTTCTTGAGCACTGAAATGTCTGTCTCGAGTGAACTCAATTTTTCCCCCATATCATCAGTCCATGTGGAGATTGTAGCCAGCACGTCAACGACTTCGTTTTTCACTCAATTGAAGTGATCAGATTCAGTCTTTTGAAGTTGTTCATGTGTAACACGTATCTCTTCAAACCGTTGATACAGCAACTCAAGTTGCACAGAGAGAGCCACAACATCACCGGACTGTAGAGGGTCAACCAACTCCTCCAAATGTGCCACCCTTTCCCTCAGATCAGCATTCGTTCCGTCAGCCATAGTTGATCTGTTGCCAAAAACTTGGCTCTGATAACAAACTGTCACGGGATAATTTTCGTTTTTCTTTCGAGGCTACCTGTGAAGGCGTTGCTATTGCAACCAGCCACACGCAAACTCACACAAAAGGCACACACGAATTTACTGGGACAAAACTCCAAAACCTTATATATTGAATTAAACAATTTACAAGGAACTCTCAAAGCTAGAACACTCCTCCCCCTATCAGAATGCTCAAGCACCCCTATTTATACAGGAGTAAGGTAGATGACACCCTCATCTGCCAAGGGGTAGTTACCCTCATTTTTGCTATTTCATAGCATACTGGGCTAACAGGTTTGGTCTCTGTGCGACACTTGGCAGGTAGTTCCACCCCTTTCAATAACTGATATGGAATTGCCCTTCATCAGCATGCATTTGGACTGGATTCAGATTAGGGACGCCCAGAACTGCCTTAACTGTGTCTCAGCATCTGCAACTGCCCACATCCTCCTGGTCACATGCATTGAGCAGCCGTGTGCCAGTCATGTGCCCACATTCAGCAGTCAGCCTTGCTTCACGAACTAATGTGCATGCTGGGTTCAACCCATGCCATGCAATCCGAAGCTATGCCCCCACATTATTTCAATTGAGCTCACCACGTGCTGCCATGCTCAACTGGGTGTTTTCATGCTACCTTGGTTCGCCCCAATCTGTCGAACTACTTAGCTGCGTCACCTTGATTCCAACTTATGGCATGTCTTGGTGCAAAGTGCCACTAAGACCGGCCATTTGCACCCAAGTCAGTTAGGGTGTAACACTTATTATATAGATGCTAGACAAAACAGACTAAATCAAATGTTGATTTTCCCAGTTTAGAAATAAAATATCTCTTCCATCCATATAATTTTCTCCCCAATTTCTCAACCACAGGATCCTAAAAGGCTCTAGATAATGGATTAGCTCCCAAGGGAAGTCCTAAGTATTTCAATGGCCACTTACCCACTGAACATCCCATCTCCCGTGCTATCCTATCTACCTTCTCAAAAGTAAAGTTGATTTCCACCATAACACTCTTTTCCATATTTTACCTTAAGGCCAGAGATGACACTAAACACATTAACAATCGTTTTTAAATTTCTACTCATCCCAAGAAGAAAAGAATATAGAGTCATCTGTTAAATTAGATTTCTCTGCACCCTCCATCAATCTACTTAAATCATTCACCACCAAATTAAACAAAAACAGGGATAAAGGATCCCTTTGTCTAACCCCCTTGTATGCCTTAAATTTACCCTTAGGTTTCCCATTCATAATTATCGAAAAATTTACTGATTCCATGCATTCCTTAACCCACTTTTTCCATCTCACACCAATTCCTTTTCTTTCAACACAAAATCCAGAAGATCTCCTTAGCCATCTCATTAGCAATAAGTGCCACATCCATATTTTGTCTCCTCCCACGAAAGCCTCTTGATATTTTGAAATTGTTACCCAAACACTCCCTTAGTCTCAAAGAAAGAACTATAGAAATAATTTTGTACAAACTTGTAACCATTGTGGTTGTTATTTTCAATATTTAATTGATGTTAATAATGATTTACTCTTGAACCTCATTGGATGTTTTGGAAGGTTAGAGTGTCGGTTAAGGTGCAAGTGCTTGCTTGGATGATTGTTCGTGGTAAGGTGAACGCATGTGACTTGTTGCAAAAAGATAAGGCCTGATAATTATGTTTCCCCTAATTGGTGTGTTTTATATAAAGAAAGTGATTAAAGTATTGTTCCTTCATTGTCCAATAGTTATGTTTTTGTGGCATAAGGAATCACAAAATTTTTTAAGGTAGAGAGGAGGATAAAGATCTAATATGGGATAGAGTGAATTTTTTAGCTTCTCTTTGGGCATTGGTTTCAAATCATTTTAGGGACAATTCTTTGTTGGTTTTACTTTTACCACATAATGGAAAGCAGCATCTATCTAACTTTTGTTTTTTATATTTGCGTTGTATTTCTTTTGTTTTTGGGTGGATTTCTTATTTGTCAGCCATGCACTTTATCCACTTTCTATGGAAAAAAAGTTCGTTTTCTTATCCAAAAAAAAGATGAATGTGTGATAAAATTAGGAAGGATAGAATTTGGAATGATTGTATCCATGAAAAGGTAGAGATAGCACATATAGGAGATAAGTTAAGGGAGAATCGACTTAGGTAGTTTGGACATATTTATAAACGACTTATTACGGCACTGATGAGGAAGAGTGATACAATAGCTATTAACGTTAAGAAAAGGGTAGAAGAAGACTAAAATTAACTTTAAATGAAATAGTAAAGAAAATATATGATAACTTATAGTTTAATAGAAAGTATGACCCTTAATAGAGAACATGATTCATGTAGCTGACCTAAAAAATATTAGGACAAGGCTTTATTAAGTTGAGTTGAGTTAAATTAAACAATTGGAGTTCCTAGTATAGGAAATACACCTTATATCATTGTAGATGATGAAAATGGGCTACTGAAATAAGTTTATGTTGACCCAATTTGTTTATGAGCCTTTAATCAAATTGGCCTGTACAGGTATATGGCAGGTTTGCCTAATTCACTGCCTGGCCTTGTGTTGGGGGTCTGTTGAGATCTTTCGAATGATCTGCAAGGTTTCAAGCTTCCCCTTGGCTAGGTTTTTTCTTGAACCAGTTGTGCAGTCTCAAGCTTCGTCAAGTAGGCTTTGTTTTGAGCAAGTTCAGTGCTTTGTTGCTTTGAGGTTCTGGGTAGTGTATGTGCTGTGAAGTGTACACCTTGCTTGATGGAGGTTAATCATTGATTAGACAGCCATTGCTCCCATCTCCATGAACCTGGGAGCCAATAGATTCTTATCTTGCAGCCCACCCAACTGAACTCTCTTTCTGGTTGATTTTTTTTAGGTTCTTCTCATTACTGGGAAAATACTTTATGCAATGAGTCATCAATTTTCGGTTTGAGTTTGACCAAGTCCCAAGTTGGTGAGAGGAATACCACACTTCATACATTAATAAGTACTATTATAATGTCGATATTTACTAGCTTTTTATCAGAGCCTTTAGTTTCTTTCAGTGCTGAACCGCATATATCGCATATAGATATGGCTACAGGGAGACTAATTTGAGCCCCAAAGCTACAATGGATTTCCCCAATGGTATCATGTGACTATTTTTTGTCATTCATGATATCTGTGTCTGAGATTTGATTCAAGTTTTTCAGGTTGGAGTCTTACATAATATCTTTTCATATTTGTGGTTGTTCATTCTTTTGCTCCGTAACATGAGGTGATTAATGGATGTTTCTTGAATTTATATAGGTTGTTATGCCCTAGTATTTGTTACTTGTGCATCTGTTGGTGCTCCTCACATATGTGTGCATGGGTTCCCATCCTCTCCCTTTTTTGGATGCAGTGTTATTGAACCTGCCTTTCTTTGTGGTTTTTCAGGGAGAGAATCTGATAGTAGCAGTTGATGATGATGGCTGCTTTATTGGGAGAATTTGTGATTTTAGTGGACGCTATGTCAAGGATGCGGATAAGGATATTATTCAAGCAGTGAAGGTAAGAATGATACCAGAGTTTTAGTTCTATTTGAAAGCGAAATTTGTATGCTCTTTGGTTTTTACATAATCTATTTTAATCGGAGTGTCTTATGAAAAATTTTAATCAGAGTGGTGCTATCTATGTAAAACTAATCTTTAAAAATTATTTTCAGTATTGTTCCTAAATGTTGTCAGTCATGTGTTTAAATCAAATTAAGGGCATGTGGTGAAACATCCTTTGTCATTCTTAAGATGTTTAATATTATTTTTTGGTATGATGCTTTCAATTTGGTCTTTTGGCTTTGAAAGGGAACCTAGGTGCTTAGTATCAATCCTGCTTCCCCCACCCCTACTCAATTTCATGTACACTGTTCCAATATTTTTGAGTTTCAATAACAAAATTCCTTTATATTGGGTTCAGGAGAAAGGCAGGCTTGTCAAGTCTGGAAGCTGTATGCATTCGTATCCCTTTTGTTGGAGATCTGATACTCCTCTTATCTACAGAGCAGTTCCCAGTTGGTAATTTTTTTACCAATCCCATTCTTTCATTGCATTTATGCTTTGTTTTTCCGTTTCTTGTCTGCGGTTCAATTTTTTTGGACTGATGATTGCAAGGCATCAAAATGTTTGTTGTATATTTCCTTAATTCCTGATCACTCTAATAACCATCCGCTGGTGTTGCTTTGATGCAGTGGGACACCTGTACATACTATAATATGACTATGGTTGCAATAGTAGCGAGTTTATTAAAATTTTGTGAAGACTTTTGCAATTTTATATGTCGGTTCCCGAAGATCAAGTGAGCTTTGAATTTTGGGACGTTGTTATTTTGTTTTGTTGCTCTTATGGTTCTAGGACTATTAGAATTTGGTTAATTGCATTAGATTGGATCCCTATCGAAGATTTGAAAGGAAGTTGGCTGGAAAGGCTATTTGACAAGAGAAGCTAGAGTAGCAGTCTGTGAGTGCAGTAAATGGATATGGCTCTAGGTCTAGATGGATTTTTTATAACTATTTTTTAAGATTGCTGAGGTTATTTAGGATTATTTGATGAGGTTGTTTGCTGAATTTTTCCAAAATGGTGTGTTTAGTAGTAGTTCCAACACTACATTCATTTATCTTATTGTTCTAAAAGAGAAGTCATTGGTGTAATTTCTCTTTACTTCCATAGTGGTGTGTTATGTGCAAAAGGAGTGAAGAGAGTATTGATCATCTCTTTCTTCATTGTTCTTTTGTCTTTGCTTCATGGAGTAGATTGTTTGGTTTAGTGGAGTTATGTTAGATTAATGTAGGTTGTTGTATAAAGATTTTTGAAATTCGGTTCTGGGTTCTTGAAAGGAGTAAAAAAAAGAAATCCTTTTTGTAGATGTGTGATGATGGCTATATTTTAGGTTATTTGGCTTGAGAGAAATGCAAGAAGATTAAAAGTGAGGAGTTGAATTGCATTTGGGAAGCAATATGCTTCTTGGCTTCCTTTTGGGGTCTCCATTTGCCCTATTTTCGGGAATTCTTTCAAGTTTACAAACAATACTAAACATTAACTAAATTCGACTTAGCTTTGAAGACGAGTTTTTTTTTAAGTATTATTTACTATTACATGTCAAAAAAGTATAAAAGAATGAGTTAGTTACACTATAATCTTAGATATATCAAATCAACTAGTCAAATGTTGGTTCTAATCCCTCTAATTAGTCAAGTTCACTTTATAGTTATATCATAATAAGACGATATTACACAAGAATTACTAAAAATTATAATTTTTAAATTGTTAGATAATAGTAAAATATAAAATATATTTTATTATAGATGTATTCTAGTCGTACTTGTAGTTTTTTTTTTTAGGTTGTCATATTGTTTTATTGTACCCGTATCCGTATCTATGTTTCGTCGCATACCATGCTTGCTCCTTGTGTAGAAGTATCCGCATATTTTATTAATTATCAAATTCATGTGATTCATATCCAATACGGTACGTCGACTTTGACAAAGTATCCGTGTTTCATTGGCGGTATGTACTTTTGCTTTAATGACAAGTATTTTGTTGTTTATTAAAAAAAAGTCATTGAGAGTTTGAGATTCTTGATTAGGGATGTCGGTGGACCGAAGCGGGGGTCGGGAGTATAGTTTTCATCCCCGTACCCACTTAAAAAAATTTCGTCCATCCCCGGTCCACCCCCGTTAACGGGTATAGTTTTCATCCCTATTCTTGTCAGCGGGTAAATTTCTAATCCTCGTACCCGTCTTCGATTTTTCGTACCTGCCTAAGCCTAAGCCCAAGCTCAAGCTCAAGTAGCATAATCCAAAATTTTAAATAAATCTAATATTTTAAATAATCCAACAACATTCTAAATAATCTAACATAATCTAACACAACATAATATAGATTGCAAAATGTAAAAGCTAAAACAATATAATATTCTATTTAAAGTGTCATTAGACCACAAAAAGAGAAACGAAACTATTAGAGAGAAAGGAAGAAAAGAAAAATAAAATTGAACTGAGAAAACAATAGCACTACATTTGAAGTTTCCTAGAAGAATTTTTGTTATTACAATTCATATTACTGCCATAAAGTATTAAAAGATGACAAATTAAAATTTTGCTAATTCAATTATTCTACCCACGATGAAATGCAAAACAATCTTACTATCTCTTATCTGTTTTTAAAGCATGGTCAATCCAAACTTCTAACAGTTTTAATCAGTGAGGACACATAGAAAAAAGAATAATCAGGAAAAAAAGTTGATAAGATTATCACGTAGTAATGTCACTTGCTAGTTTGATTATCATATTTCTAGATTAGTAGTTTCAGTAAATATGTTTAGTTAGGGCTTTAGAGTATTTTGTTTTTACATATATATATATAACAGGTAGCTAGGGCGGGGACGGGGCGGGGGTAAGGGTAAGTCTATCTCCGCCTTCATCTCTGTACAGGTTTATATGGGTATCTCTGTTGCGTCCACCATTTAATACGTATAGTCCATTCCCGGTCTAAACGGGACGGGTTTGGACGAATACCCTTTTTTATCCTAGTCTACTGCCATCCCTATTCTTGACCATTGTAGAGTGGAGACCAGCTTTTATAAACTTATAGTAAATGTGTTACCTCTAAGGTGAAGGGAGATTCTTTGGGATACTATTTCGGATGCAAGATTTGTTTATTAAGGAGGATAAATTTTAGAGATAGTCCTATTGATTAAGGAGGTGGTGGAAGAGTATCGATCATGAGGAAAGGAATGGATTGTATTAGAAATCGTTTTCAAAAAAATTATAATCATGTGGAGTGAGATTTTGTGGACTTTGTTCAGGAAACAAAAAGTTTGAAGATAGAGGGAGGATGGGGATTCAAATGATATTCATGTGTTATAAATTTTTCAGTGATATTGAGTGGGTTAAAGGATGGTTTAAGGCTTTTAGGGTTCTTCGTTAGGGTGATCTTTCTTCATTATTTCTTTTCACTGTTATTGTGGATGGGTTGAGAAGTTTAGTTGATAGGGCAAAAATATTTAATTTGGTAGAAGGATTTCATAAAGGTAAAATTATGAACTCAGCCATACATTTATGAGTTGTCAATGATATCATATTCTTTGCTAGTGGAGATGAGGAAATGATTTTGAATATTAATACTTTGGTGGACGCATTTGGGATAATTTTTGTGCCACGTATCAAAATTAGGTTTCGAAATAGTCCAAGGAGACTGAAACAAATTAGTAATTGAATATAAATTATAATGTTTTAAGGTGTTTCGGCATGTTTTCAGTTTTCACCAGTGTTTTCGAATGATTCGAGATGTTTAAGGATGACTCGACATATTCGAACCAATGTTTCAGAATGTTTTGGAAATAAGTTCTTAGAATTTTTTCCTATTTTCATTGTGTTTTTAAAACATTTTCAAAACATTTTCAAAATATTTTCTTTTCTTAGATGACCAAAACAATGAACCGAAATGAAATTTTCTAAGCTTAGGTTGAATATGATAGACAGATATAGAGTATGACCATAAGAATTGACTTGTGGGGTCCTTAAGGTGTTAAGTTGGTGTGTAATCTTTGAAATATCTAGGGCTATGGCCTTGAGAGTGGATGGATGAAGAGAGCTTTTCTTTCAAACAGGAAAGACTTACTTTAGTTAAGCTGGTATTGCCTAGCATTCCTATTTATTATGTCTCTTTTAGGGCACCAAATTTTCTCAAGGTAGTGTGGAAGGGAAAATAAATTAGTTGATTGGTTGGGATTTGGTTTCCGATAAGGGTGGTATTGGTTTGGGTTGTCATCGAAAGCGAATTTGGTGTTCATGCTTACGAATGAGTCTTTAATGCAGTTCAAAGGGGACGCTGTGATGCCCATGGCAGTTAGTTTCTCACGTATTGATTTAGATTTCTTAGAGTAGGTATTATTGTGGCTAATGGGTGCGTGTATGTTTTCGGAAGGATGTTTGACTTGGGGATTCTTCTTTTTCATTCGTGTTTCCTCGTATTTATCATCTATCCATGACCACAATATGCCAATTGTTCATAGGATTTTGTCTTCTTCTTCTCCACTCACTCTGAATTTCAATCTTTCTAGGAATCTAAATGATAGAGAAATTCATGAATTTTGCTCCTTACATTCTTTACTTGATGAGTTTTCTTTAAGTCCTATGCCCTATAATGGAAAAAGTTGGATTATTTGTTTGTCAACGTTGTTCTCTATAACTGTTTCAGTTTTTTCTCGGTCTTTTGATGACATAGAAAACAAAGGTGCCCATTAAAGCTCAAAAGTGTGCATAGACAGTTGCTTATAGTTTCCTTTGTTGTTTGGTTACTTTGGGATTGTGCCAAATTTTAGTTGGAATATCATAGGCACTATGTGTCTTGTTTGAGGAATATAATAAGGTTTTTGACCGGATAAAAAGGTTTCCATTTTTAGAAAATGTGCTTAAATTCTGGTTATTTTCTGGGTTATTTGGTTGGAAAGAAATACTACTGTCTTTGATGGTGAATTTAACATGATGATTCCTTACTCCTTACTGGTTACCATTATCTTTGGGGGTTTCGGTGACTAAGTAATTGATTGTATTTCTCTTTCCACTATAACTTGAGACTGGAGATCATTCTGTGGGTTACTTAATTGTTTTGGTTATAGAGTGTTGATTTTTTTTGCTTTATGTTGTTGTAAGGATGTTTGCTGAATGGTAAGGCTGTGGTATAGACCCTCAATTTAGAGTGAACTCATACACATAAAATGCTAGGCAAGGATCAAAATATCGTTTTGGTGTATTGTTTCGGTCATCTAGGAAACGGAAACGTTTCAACGTGTTTCATAAACGTTTTGATGCGTTTCGAAAACATGATGAAAAAAATAAAAAATATAAAAATTATTTTTTAAAAATATTAATAGAAATATGTCGAAGTATCTTGAAATATCTTGAAACATTATAAAACAATTGTACAAATGCATTGAAATATTATAATACATTTAAAAACATTATGAAATACTTCGAAATATCAAAATTTCGATTTCATCACTGTTTCGTTTTGGT